TTATTTGCTGTGAGGCTCATTACCGTTCCTTTACAGCAACGCAGGTGATGTCTATTGCTGCTTCAACGACAATACCCAATGTACGTCATCGATACCAGAAATCTAAAAGACCGAGTATGAACTGACTTCGCGCACACAGTTGGCATCCCGAATGGCGACAAGGGCAATTGCAAAAAGGTCGACATTGAGGTGTGGGTGAGGGCGACGTAGTTACTGGCCTACTCTCCGGAGTTCTGGGCCTTCTTGGTGGTGGTGCTTTGCCTCTGTGAGAAGCCCTTGCGAGAAAACAGCGGACTGGGATCATTCAATGTCATCTTGCAACAACCTTGTAAAAAGAAAATTCGTGTACAACACTGTAACTTCCAGCATGTATCCTGAATTGGATCGGATTTAAATAGCTCGAGACAGAAAAAATGGAAACTCAACAGAACCAGACAGGAAACTCGCGCAAGTCGGTAAGGCCTGCGTTTGCACCGACAGCACATAGTTACCATACATGAAACCAAGTGATGTGGAGTAGCTATTGAGAGGCTTTCAAAAAGTTAGAAACGGTCAAGACTACATGGCCACCTTGATCTAGTGTCAAATCAATGGCGCTGCCATTGTATCTCGCCCTAGCAAACGTTCCTGAAGTACTCGTCAGTTTCGCCGATGCTAGCGCGCCTTGAGACTATGAGATGTCGACCGTAAGTCCACCTCTGGCTCTGAACCCAGTAACCGCTCCTTCCACCCAAGATTTCGGTATAGCAGGAAGGAAATGAATCTCTCCGTTATGACTTTGCAGAATCATCTCTGCCACTGCATTCGCCCCTCCGAAATTTCCGTCGATTTGGAATACCGAATTGATAGACTAAAGGTTGTCGTACGAGTAGAGCTTGAGCAGCCGTTGCATGTAGTAATAGGCCTTTTCTCCGTCCAAGAGTCGCGCGAAGAAGTTGGCCCTCCACGCAGTCGGCCAGCCTAAGCTGTAGTCGCCACGCAACTGCAGAGTGACCTTAGCGGCATCGGTAAGAGTTGTATTGAATCTCGGATCGATTTGTGCGCCAGGATGCAGAGGGTAAAGTTGACTGATATAATTGAATGGGCTATTTGACTCATATATCAGGATGGGATTGGACATACATGATTCGCGGATCACATTTTGCGCAGAAAGGATATCGTCTCGCCTAGTTTCCGAGAACATTAGATACTATTTGCATGAGATGCAAGAAAGGGATGTACCAGATCAACTCTTGAGCGTTCGGTAACGCTTTGGGACAGTTCTTGTTATTCGGGTGAGTCAGAGAGCCCGACCAGACGTGATCCTGCGGGGAGCCTGAGTGATAACATTCACTTGCCCTGTAAGTCCAGCACCGAGTCGACCGTTGCCCAGCGGAATTACTTTGAAATAGTTAGTTGAGGTACACCATAATGAATTATCACGATGCACTTGTCGGGATATCAAACCACATGCTGGTTGACTAGAAATAATTCATGAGGTTGAGGAATCAAGGTATGACTTGTTCAGAACGCACCGCATGGACCGACGCCATCCAAGCAGCCGTAGCAATGGCTAAAGCTCGCAGTGTTGTCATTTTCATGGATGGGAAGTCTTGGAGATAGAAGGGTGTATTCTGGGGTATACATATGATTATAATTTGCGATCATATGGACTGGAAGGTGTACGCACAGGATAATCATCGAGACAGGGTTATTGGTTCTTGCGCGCTGCATATCCTCGAGATTTCCGTCGTAAGATCTCATTAAAGTCTTGATCCATCCATTCATCCATTGAGTTAGGATACAATGAAATGAAAATCATTGATGTAGCATTGGAGTCCTGGCCGCAATCCCAGAGGTTTAAGCTATTTCCTACATCACCCAAATCTCGCGAGATAGCGACTCCATAGATTGGAAGTACTTTGGAATTGACGAACAGATGCTGAGTTCGTACCGGACCTTCTACAATGGAGGATGAGACGTAGTGAAGTTCGCTGGTGATGGTTGGAAAAGAAAAGAGCGCTTCTGAGCAGGCAACTTTGCCAACGCGTGTGCCGGTCCGGATCCCGGATTTTGACGAATACTGCGACGACAGACACCCAACTAACTCTTAGCCAGAGGCAGGTCCAGTGGTACAGTGATCGTTCACGTTCAGTTTTTAGGTATATTCCAGCTATAAATATGATAACAGTCACGGTGGTATCAAAGACAAGTCACAACACAAAGTCCGGACATGCAGTGTATCAACCCCTCATCCTCCTATAGTTTGTCTACGAATAGGAACTTGTACAAAAACTCCTTCTGTCCATCATCGAACCGCTTGCTAAACGGATGCGCCTCATCCGTAGGCGGAATCTTCCTCTTTCGCCTCTGTGTCTGAGTTTGTGTTTGGGAAGATGACGATGAAGGCTGGGTCGAAGATTTGGGTGTCCTCCGTGACGACGATGCTCGAGACGACTTGGCTGAAGGTGATATCTTCGAGGATGAGGAGGATGAGGAAGAAGCTCGTGGTAATGGTGTCCACGGCGAAATCTCTTGTACTGGTTGGTGTTCGGCTGGTTGACCAAATTTGTAGGCCTTGAAAGATGCCTCAAGGTCGGGGTCGTATCGGTAGTGGGCTTTACCGAAGAAAAATTCGTCGATGTCGAACATGGTTGAGTGTTTGGTTGGTTAAGGTAGAGGTTGCAGTTGTTAGAGCAGGAAAGTCGTACGACTCGAGTTATTGTACGAGTGAGAGTTGTTCTGGATTGAAGTGGACTTTAGAGGTGGCTTTTATACGTTTTCTTCATTCTTGAGATGTATGAAAGTACGTCAGAAGTAGAATGTCTCGCAGTGACGGAGGTTTAGGCGAAGAAGATTTGAGACTTTTTTTTGAAACCTCTGGACGAAGAACTTGTCAAGAAGTACGTGTCGTAGCGACAATGTTGAATTCGCTGTCTTGACTCTTCCGAGAAAGCGAGAAGTAAGATACGGTAACGAACGACCTGGGAGGTTCGAGTATCCCTGGTATGCATATGGAAGAAGGGGTAGAGGCCGGCTAGAGTGAGACGCCTCAGAGACGCCCACGACGCTCACCTCAACCGAAACATACACTACTCAAGACTCAAAGTGAACCATTTCAGATGGGTTTCTGGTTCTAAAACCACCGAAATTGAGCGTCGATGGCTCAAGCATGAGGTAAATGAGAGCTGGAGGTAACTAGGGCCGAGCGCCTACATGTATAGATGAAGGCTAGCCGTAAAAGACTGCTTTAAACCTCAGATATAATCTATGAAGTATGCTAGTTATATACGAGATAAATAAGATATCTACGGTCCTTCCACTCCACAAAAAAGAATGTACAAAAGAGCGTGTCGAAAAGCATTGAACGAAATGCGGTAAACAATGTAAACAAGAAAGGTGGCGACGTCAACGTTCAAAAAGAGGTGTGGTGGAAGAATGAAGAATAGCATGGAATTTCGTCATAAAAACAGCAGCATAAATTGACGACGAGTAATTCCAGTCACAAAAAAGCTGAAGTTGAACGAGTGAGAGTGGGACGTGAAAAAGGAATGTAAAGGAAGGAAGACGGGACACACCAACAAGAATACACGACGCCGACAATTCCCTAGTAGACAGACAGACATACAGCACACACTTTACCGCTCTCTTCCCCATCTCTCTTGTTCTCGTTCGTATTCTCGATGTTCATAGCCTCCATATCCAACACCAACACCGTAGCCAGCACCGTAACCAACGCCAGAGTCATAAGCAGGCGATGATCCATAAGCTGGCGGTGGCATCTCAACGTACTCTGGCTCTGCCATCCACGATGATGCAGCTGCTTCTTCCTTCTTCGTCATTGACGGTCGCGGTGATGATTTAGCATCACGATCATTCGAGTCGAGATTAAGCGTCAACCTCGAATCAGGAATCTCACTACTCAAAAGCGGTGCTCGTGAGCTATGAGAGACGTATGATCCGTTCGAGTGATTCGTATGATACGAATCGACCGAAACCGACGACCCCGCGGCTAACCCAAATCCAGGTGATAGACTACCACCCATTGCCAACAAATCCTGTGATGGTCTTCTCCGCGTGAACGTTGATCCTGTAGGACTACCCAGCTGTTCCACCCTCTCAGAAGTCAGCACCCCAGCATTTGGTTCCGAAAACTGCCATGCTCCGTTCGGTAATCTCGACGCAATACGCATGTTTTCTCCCGGAGTATGAACGTTTGATCCAAAAGGTGTGATTTTGGCTGCAATGTGGTTCCTGTCGAGGAGTTTTCCTGTGGCCTTGCGTTTAAGACCAGCTTTGACAGAGATGTGACGTTTGACGCCGCCGTCGTCAGAAGGTGATGAGGAAGAGTGCTCAGGGTCTTCGAGGGTGTAGAATTGGGGTGCTTTGAGACGGAGTGTCCAGAAGATGATGATGCCGACTGCGATGAGACCCAGGAATCCGAGGACGAGGCCTGCGATGAGCATCCGACGATCTCCGGTTGCAGGATCGACATAGGGTGTTGAGACTGCTGATGGAGAGCTATCGCTCGACGACATGAAGGTGAATGGGAAGGGCTGCGTGCAAAAGGAGTGAGGTTTGAAGGAATGGAGAGTTGTGTCGTGTGAGAACCCTGTCAACGAACATGGATCAATATAAAGTCATGAGATATGATAGAAACAATCCTTATAATTCTGACCTTTTCTCTAACTTTTTCTTCCAATAAAATATCTGACAAGGACCTAGGTGACGATGTCGAACATGAAGGAAGGGAAGCGACTGGCAATGGAAGCGAAAGGGGGGTTTCTGTCAGGGTTGCAGGGGCCTTCGCCGTCTGGAACGGCGCCAAGAGGAACAGTCAGCGCGACTGAATTAAAACATTCTCACGGCTGGCAAACAGCCCGTCAACGCGTCAAGGAACTTGCGAAAGTGAATGATATTCAGCTGGGCGAATAGCCAGAGAGCAACGGGACATTCGTATGGTCATGCAATGTAGAATATGGGCTGGTTAATTAGAAAAAATACTGAACAATAAAAAATGACTGCCCCAGTGAGGCTCGAACTCACGACCTTCCGATGCTTAAGCTCACATGCACATGGGTCGCAGTAACAGTCGGACGCTGTAACCAACTCAGCCATGGGGCATTGAAACGCATGATTTTAATCAGTAATACAACACGTTTCATACATGCTTCACATTGTCCATATCATACACTGTTCCTTACTTCATTTCCGCAACAGAAAGCCCTTCAAAGCAAGCTACCGAGGAGCTCGCTGAGAATACCGCCGTCCTCGCCGATGCCAAAGTTTTGCTGTTGACAATTGCCATCATTGATATTGATATATCCAACTGAAAGATAGTCAGTCAATCGGTTACCCAGGAAAAGAGAAGTTCAGAATCAATATACCCTGGTTGTTGGAGTTGAAGCAGCAATAAACGTTGCCGGTGGAGCTGCAAGTAAATTATTAATGAGTAAATGCTCGCTCTCGAGAACGAGGATTCATACCATCCGCTGCTCAGAACGCTGCTGAGGATCCCGCCGTTGTTGCAGGCAATAGTACCACCGCTGCTGCAAACGGAGGTAGAGCCGCCTTCACCGCCGTGAGGGACGGGAGTAGCCAAAACGATGGCGGGGACGATGAGAGCGAGGAGAGCGTTGAATTGCATGTTGGAGATGCTGAGAAGGCTCTGCAGAGAGTAGCTTTGGATGCTCGAGAAGACCACAGAGGATGTGGAATGAGGATTTGAGTCGTGAAAAGGCCTGCTTTTATAAACCTTCGAGGGTATAGCGTCATCCCAGATGGAATACTTTCCAGAGTCCATGAAAGGAGGTGTTTGCTGATTTTGCCGTGTCTTTGTCGTAGTAACTCCACAGACATCTGAGATAGATTGAGTGTGCGTCTCAAGAATTTTCCAGAGGCGGCATTCTACTGGTAATTGAATGCGTCTTAGATCGCTGGCTGTCGTTACAAAGACCCTAATGAGCAGAAACAATCGGTATGGAATATTCGACTGAGAATACCTAAGAGTCTGGTTAGTATCTCTCATCCCAGTCCGAGAATGTAGTTACCTTGCGGCCTCTTTAAGTGTTAGAGCTCTGGTGGTGGTCAAGTAGCAAGCGCCAATATGACACGGACCTGGCCGAAGCGGAGTTTGAACGGCACCATGTCCTGACACGGACGCGAAAACGCGACTCTTCACTTGTTTCTTTTCTACTTCTTCCATCGGCGCACTTTGACAGTCGCAGTCGACACTTTTTTTCTCGCTACATTCTATTCTCACTCTACTCGCCCATCACTATGCGCATCACAGACACCCTTCCCGATTTCACCGGCCACCTCGTTGAGCAATACGAGCTTCTTGAATGCTTAGGATCTGGAGCCTACGGAAAAGTCTACAAAGCAGTCGATATCACCTCTTCCACAAAATCGCCCAACCACTTTGCCGTCAAATGCCTTCTAAAGCCTGAGGTTGGATCAAGGCAAGAGGAATTCCAGCTACGCGAGATCGCTCTCCATCAGAAAGTATCTGGACATCCCAATATCGTGGCGATGCACGAGGTTCTCTACGACGATTTCTTTGTATATGTCATCCTGGACTTGTGCGAGGGAGGAGACTTGTTTGCTGCTATCACGGAGACGGATTCGTTCAAGCGAGATGACGAATCTATTCGGAGCGTTTTCGTCCAGCTGTTGGATGCGCTTCAGCACTGTCACGACAAGGGCGTGTATCATAGGGACCTCAAGCCGGAGAATGTGCTGTTTTCGAAGGATGGTCGACGCGTTCATATCGCCGATTTTGGGCTCTCGACGGATACGCGAGCTTCTCAAGAGTTTGGCTGTGGTAGTTCGTATTATATGAGCCCCGGTGAGCGCGTGTTTCTCTTGTTCATGATGATCAGCGGACTGACTTGATATCACCGTAGAATGTATCGGGAAGGAATCATATCGCACTCACTATTCGCCTCGCCTAAATGATATTTGGTCTCTGGGCGTCATTCTCGTCAATCTTATCACCGCTCGAAACCCTTGGTGCTTTGCGGTCTCTTCCGACGAACACTTTAGCCATTACTTGCAGGACGAGGACTTTATACGACAGCTCTTACCCATCTCTGACGGTGCCAACCGTATACTCAAGCGTATCTTTGAGCTCAATCCTTTGCATCGTATCACTATTCCTCATCTCCGGAAAGAGATCTTGGCTCTCAAGACCTTTCATCGCGCCGTTCCTCCTGTTCCACACCCTAGTAGTAGCAAAGTTCTCGAGGCGGGCCCACGGAAAGTCGTTACTATATACACGGAGGATATACCATCAAGCGATGAAGAGTCGAGCGATGGATCTACTGTTTCATCTACCCTTCTTTCGATAGGACCAACGCCTATAGATCAGCTCCTTCCCATTCCTCCCGGGTGTACTTCGCTTCCAAGGATGAAACCATTCCTAGGTCGTTTTCCAACTGGTGTGGATCATCGGCCTCGACTTCCGATACTGACAGCGAATCCGGACCCGAGACTCCTGCCTCGAAGGCGGTTGAGCCGGAAGTGGATGTTGCGGTACCGGAGCTACACCTTGACAGCGAAGAAGAGCTTCGCGAGGAGGAGATGCCCACGCCAAAGATCAAGCAGACCGCAGTCTTTCAATGCGATCCCGCGCTTCGTGCCATAGCAAAAGCTACGAAAGCCGCGGCGACGCTACCGCCCAAGTACTTGGCTCGACCCTTCGCGATATTCAGGAAGGAAACAGCTCGATGATGTGGGTTGATTTTGGTGATTCGGTGGCTTGATGCACGGACAAATGTGTACATTTCTAGTCTTGTACTGTAGTATTTGGCGCAGGACGCTTATAGTCTCCCTGTATGTACTTTACGTTCAAATGTATTATCAGTTCCTTGCGAGCGTTCCTGTACCTGTGATGAATCGGTGACTGACGGCCATTCGTCCCAGTAGCCGTTTTTTAGCTGCTGAAACATGCATCAGACTTGAGAAAAAATGAATGGGAAAAGCAGAGTACTCCACGTGTTCCGCTGATGCCCATGCATTGCCCCAGCTTCTGCCGGACGCAAGCCTCTGTCCTTCGTCTGGGCCATCAAGGAGGAACGAGCAAGCATTGCAGTTGTCGATCTCGCACAATTCGAGACGACGACGATGCAGTACAAGAGCCTCGAGGATGAACTGCTTAACACTGGCAGTGTGGGTCCCGGCAAAATATCAAGTATCCGATTGACACAGCCATCAACGGAAGTCGAGATGATCAAAATTGAAGCCAAACTCTACCTGCCTCCCATACCCTTGTCAACGTCTCGTGCGTTCTGAAGCCACATTCCTATCGTCATCGTCTTGCACCATGGCTGTAAGGACGCAGTCTTCAGCCTCGTCTCTTGCTAAATACGCTGTCGCAAAATCACCCGGGGTCGACCTCTACAATGGCAGCACTTCGAGGGATTTCTGTAATTCGTTTTGGGGGATTGGGGACGCTGGACCGAACATTTTGTTCGCGAGGATGAGAGGGCAGCGCGAACTACAGATGCGTTGAGGACTTTTTGGAAAGAGAGGTGCGTGTATACTTTGGGTTGTGGGCATCGAGTGTTACTGATGATGGGCTTTATCAAGGGCGGCGATTGAAGAAGAATACGCAAAGAAGCTGTATGAACTTTCTCGTCCTGCTTTAGGAAAAGATGAGACTGGGTAAGTTGAGTTTTTATCCGAACTGTATACGGTGTTTAGTTTTTTGACCGATTTTTATTTTCTTCTATCAGGGAGCTCCGAAATGCACTGGATACACTACATACGGAGACCGAGAAGATGGCCAAGGCACATTTGGATCTTTCTCAGCAAATTAGAAGCGAGATGGAGGACCCTACCACTGCTCTGCTAAACAAGCAAATCGAGCATCGTAGAGCTGTTCAGAACCCCGTGGAAAAGAAGTTCAAAACGAAGCAAGCTCAAGAGTCGTATGTTGTCAAGGCTAGGGAAAAATATGAGGGTGATCGGTTGCGTATCGCTTCATACTCTGCTCAAATCGAGCAGAACGCGCCGGATTTGGAACGGATCAAGTCCAAGCTGAAGAGGGCAGAGCAGACAGTTGGCGCCAATGAGAAGGACTATGCCAACTTCTGCAAGGTTCTGGCAGACTCTCTGCCCAGCTGGGAGAACGATTGGAAGGATTTCTGTGATTCGTGTCAGGATATGGAAGAGGAGAGGTTCGATTTCATGAAGGACAATCTCTGGGCATACGCGAATGCTGTATCTGTCGTTTGCGTTGCCGACGATGTGGTAAGTGCCATTTCTTACATGGATGGATGGACGAATAATAAATTGCTCCCCAGTCGTGTGAGGCCATTCGAACCGTGCTCGATCAGCTAGAAACGGACCGTGATCTCGAACATTTCGTTCAGGAATACGGTACAGGAAATGCGATACCCAATCCACCCGAGGTAATGCAGCTGCCGCACGACGCCTCTTCGTCCACCACGTCTCTGCCGGGGAATCTACCCCCACTCACCACTTCGACCAGACCTGCAAACTTTCAACGTAAATCACGCCGTCCACCGCAGGCTGCTTACAACTCTCCGATTGCAGAGGAGGCACCACCACCCCAAAATGCTCTGCCTGTCGCAGTACCACCTCCGGCGCAACAGGCACCAATCACACAACAATCACAAGCTTCGAACAGTCGAATGCCTCCACAGGTTTCTCAGCCTCCCGTCGCTCCGCCACCTCCGGTACAAGAGCCGCCGCCACCACCACCTGCTACTAAACCCCCGACTTCGTATCAGAGTAACGGGTATGGTGGACATGGAGGTGCCAATTTGACTCGTCGTGCATCTCAACCTTTACCACCTCAGCCTCCTCAGGCTCCATACCCCATGAACGAACAAGCGGCGCCACCGCCCCCGGATCCTCCCAGGAACGATGACGATCCCGCAAGACCCATATTATTCTATGGTGAGTCAATTGCTTCTCATGGTTGCATGTGGATTTTGACATGAGTCTCGTTATGTAGTGGAAGCGCTCTATGATTATACTGCCACGATAGATGAGGAGTTTAGCTTCCAGGCAGGGGATATTATTGCTGTCACGGCCACTCCCGATGACGGGTGGTGGAGTGGTGAACTGTTGGATGAGAACAGAAGGGTTGAAGGAAG